GATTTCATTACTTTTAAAAAAAAAGTCTGAATTAAACCAATTCCTGGCCTCTGTCTGTCCCTTTCCTATGGAAAGCATGGAACCATATGGTGGATCCACATGAAAATCACTGCTTCATCCTGACCAGCTACCAGATGTGCAGAGTTCTTTGTTCAATTACTTTTTTTTATTTGACATTACAGAACATACTGAATCAATCTTTATAGTTAAGAATATTAAAACCACTTTAAGAAATTCTGTATTTATATAGATTGCCTATAAGAAAATTTGATAGAAATGATATATTATGTACCATCTTCTTGACCAAGGAAATCTGGTCTGCAGACATAGAAGAAGCAAGCTGTATGAAAACAATTCTGTAATCAAGAGTTGATGTTGAAGGTACCCAAGTTAACTTAAAGTGGAGAGATCAAATCGTGGGAGGACTTCAAATGCAAATTTCTAATTTTTTTTTTTATTTTCAGCTATTTAACTTTCAAGGTGATTTAACCTACACAATATTTGGTCCTCCAGACTGAAAGTTAAAATAGGTCTTATTTCTCACTTTATAACACAAATGCACTGTAGCCAGGAAGGGAGACTGAAATTCTGAAAAATACACCATTTCTAATGTGAAAATAATTAATGTAGGACGATTCCCATGGTGATTGTAATGCTCCCAAGTCTTTGAATGTGGGCCAGTCTAGAGTTTACATGCATATAATGCATTGTTTCTCAAGCTTGACTTTCTGATTATGAAAGACAGTTTTTATAACAGACTTCAAAAAATAAAAAATAAAAAAACACATCCTTAGTTCCAATGGTCAAAGATTTATGTTTACTTCTAGTGTAGTTTTTTTTTTTTTCCTATAAACTGCTTGCTGTATGCTAGTAACTGGACTATATGACTTTCATGTTCCTCACATATCATTCACTCTTACTCCAGGAGATACAGTGGAGAGGCAACTAGGGATTTTATTCACTGAGCTTGTTTGCAGATTTTTTTTTTTTTTTTTTAGATAACAGCAAGCTTCCATACTTTCCTACAGATGTGTGAAACAGCCCTCTTTCTTTAGTTAATGACTGCTCCTGAAATAATGCTTTCTCCCTCTTCAAATTATTATTAGATTTACCCAAAAGATGTGAATGATTTTCAGATATGCTCTTAGTATTGCCCTGTGTGTTTATGGACTGTGAACAATTAATGTGTTCTCACATGTCTGAGCACTTTACTCATTATGGAATAACTCAGAGGATTAAGAAGATAAGACTTTGTCCTAAAAAATTTCTAATATGGTTAAAGAGATGAAAGTTTCACAGAAAAACAATTTAGGGACTATGAATAACAGTTTGTACACTATAAATGTGAGTGGAATTGAGTTAAAAACATGAAGTGAAATATCTTTTTGAGCTCTAAGGAAAGTAATTATAAAGGAAATAAAAGTTTAACTAAGACTAGAAGGAGAATTTTTAAAAGATAGACAGTAGAGAAATGTTCACTAAGTAAAGGAAAGAAAGAATAAGATCTAGAAGAGGGAAGTAGGGAACTGATACCAGGGGTGATTGCACAAGATATTATGAAAGGAAAGATTTTATTCTAGTAATGCACTGGCTGCCCTCTCAACCATCCTTAAAAGTAGAATGTCTTCTGGGGTTGTTACCATTAAATATTCACAAGAATTAAACAATACATACGCTCTTATGTTTGTGGCTTTTATTCAAAGGTAGAATAAAAACAAATTTAAAAAATAAACCAAACTACACATCATTAAAATGATTACTTAATATGATGATTTTTTTCATCATATTAAATTATTATCTCCATGAACATAATTTGGACACAGACTATCATGTGTGAGTATGTGTGTGTAAAACTTCATGGCTGTAGCACTATAGTACTTATGGCTCAATATTCAACACTTTATTCAGGTGACTTCATAACTTTATATATGTTAGAACACAGAAGTTGTGTTTTATTTCCATTTGGCTGGAATGTATCTTTAACATATTAAATCTGTCTTTGTTCTTCTTAGCATCTGGTTAACATGAAGGCTTTTAAAATGGTGCAAAATTGATGATAAATACATCATCCATTGATTTCAAATATACTTTATTAATTTATATTGATTATTGTGATAGTAAATACTGATCTCCAGAAAAGTGCCCATCCCACTAACTCTGGTTTGAGAAGCACTACATAAAGGTGGTTTGGGGTCTAGATATAGAAAGGCAAGGTCTGGTTAACTGAGTAATTCTCATCTACTTGGACAAGCAATAGAAATTGAGTAAGTTCAGGAGCAAAGGAAAGAAAGTGAGCTCTCAAGTTGAGCCTCATTTATTGATAGAAAGGGACAGATGCCACAAAATTAACTGAAGTACTATTGTTAAATATCTGCATGTAATGTTGCATGTTCAGGTGTGTAAATGTTAACAGGAGAAATGATGGTGGTAAAGGAGAGAGGACACTTTTACAGGGGTGTGAGAGAGTCTGGTTGATAAAATGAGACAGGGTTCATTCATTCAGGATGAGAAGAAACCAGTCTTAGGAAAGTCCCTCTAGGCAGAGGCAAGAGCAGAGATGTGAAACAGAGGCAAGCTGAGCAGTGCAGTAGGAGCAGGGAGGAGGAATATTTGGGGGAGTCTGTTATAAAGCAAGGTCCAAGAAGTAGTCATGAGAGTCTAACACTTTTGCAAAAGTAATGAAGAAGAAAGGGTGTTTTCCAGGGTCACCAGAGAAGAAATGTTAATAAGAACTGTAATGAGTTGGATTTGAGGACATAGGGAGAGAGAAGTACAAATGATCAGCAGTTGGGGATAGGGGTCCCATTTCAGACCTCTGGGAATTAGAAAGTAGAGAGGGGCAGACTAAATGGAAAAACATCCAATTATAGGTAGTAAAGGATCATTTAAGTCTTCTTTGTTTGTTTGTTTTTTCTAATTAATAGAAACAAAAAACAAGAGCTGATCTATATGTAAGATTCACCATCTTAGGGAAGATAGTGAAAGCAATGAAATAGAGGTATTGTCTAGAGGACGGAAATAAAACTTGAGATCGGTGAAGACTGGAGAATTGTACCATCAAGGAATGGGAAATCTTCAGCATAAACCAAGAAGGAATACAATAGAGAGCCAGAACAGTGTAATAGCACATCTAACACAGGCACACAAAAAAGGCGTTCAAGGGGTCAGGTCCATCCATATCAAATGCATTCACAAATTTGAAAACTGTGTTTTAGAGTGAGCATGATCAGTGTCAGGTTGTGGTCACTGGTTGCAACAGAACCTATGGTGAATTTATAGAGATGGTCCGTAGTGGAAGAGAGCTGCAGAAAGGCCTGGTCTGGAGGTGTGGTGACAATGAGCATTGTGACAAGGTTCACTTAAGAGTTTGTTGACCTGAGCAGGTGCTGAGAGTAATATCAGCCAACCTGTTCAGTAGGACAGACTGAAAATGGTTTTGTGTGGGTTAGCCTGTTCCTCCTTGGAGAAGTTCTTGAGTTAATGTCTCTAGCAGTACAATTTATTACCATACTATGAAAGCTATTTTACACAATTATAAACGAGCACTTTTCACATCTGGGTAATCACACTGCAACCTTCAGCTATGTAGTTCTGATCAAGGCTGGCAGTTCTGCCAGGATCTACCACTAGATCAAACCATCATTAGTGGTCTTTACTGCCAAGTGATTGTAGTTGTTGCCTCTACAACTCCTTTTATATTGACAAAGGTGAATACTGCTTTTATTTTTGTATTCTTAAAGAGGAAGACTGCCAAGTATACTGTGAATTTTCCATCATTATATAAGATTGAGGCAACAAAGCACATTTAAGTTTTGCTTTAGCTAGAAAAAATGTATATAGAAAACGTAGAGGTAACCATGGATAATAGTGCGCAAATCATCCTCACATGTGTTAGTTTACTTAACCTTCACAGAATCTTTCAAGTTACTAGAATAGCTTAGAAGAAAATATACATAAATAGCTTGGATCAAAAACTTAATAAGTGGTGGTACCAATATTTGAATCTAGCTCTGCCTAGTATAAAATTATATATTCAGTAGTACAATTATTGGTGACAAAATATGAGCTGTTCCTTGAAGGTCTTATTATGCTGTTCTTATTCTGAATTATAACTATTTATTTATAGAAATGACATTCATAATTTATTATATCAAAAATATAAAAAAGAAATATTTGAGCCCTAAATGTGTCTTAAAACAATGTTTATTAAACTGTAGGGTCCTTTACAGTAGAATCTGGATTTCATTTGTTTGTTCTTTAATTCCTGTTAATGGGCGTCCTTGTAGAAATGTTATGAATGCTCATTGAATTCATTGATGGGGCTGGGCTGGCCTTCCTTCCTTCCTTCCTTCCTTCCTTCCTTCCTTCCTTCCTTCCTTCCTTCCTTCCCTCCCTCCCTCCCTCCCTCCCTCTTCTCCAAGGATACTCAATGAAAGAAACCCAGGACTTTAAACAGAGATCCTTTGGAACCATTTGTTATTATTATGGTCTGGATGGCATAAGAATCCCTGTTATTTGCTTTGTCTATTCAAGTGTTATTTGCAGTATTTGTTGAAAAACAGATGTTAAAAAATAAATGTGAGGTGTCTGTATTTCACTCTCATTACAGTGCTATACTGAAATGGATTGCTTTTCTATCGATTGAATTAATTAGGAAGAAAGCTCTCTCTCTTTGCTCTTTAATCTATTGATATGAGATGACCTCAAGATCACCGATATAAAGTGGCGTCCAGTGCAATAAGTTCAGGATACATCCTTCCACATCCCCACGTGATTTAATTATTTAGAGTGTGTGTGTATGTGAATACACACACACATATCATTTATATATATATATATATTGCCATACCATGAAATTTAAAAAGCCATATATGGCTTTTTAAATTTCATGGTATGGTAATGAAGAGGAAAAACTCCAGATAGGTAGTGGAAAGGGTGATAGGTTGTTGTTCTTCCTACAGCATAATACTCAAGTGCCATTTACATTCTTTTTCTTGCAGGTGAAGACAGATGACAGAGTGGTTAAGATGGAGATGGGTTTACTCTTCCTCAGGGTACGCAAATCAGATGCCGGGATCTATTTTTGCCAGACAGTAGAGCACAGTTTTGTTCATACTGTCCGTAAAATAACCCTGGAGGTGGTGGAAGAGGAGAGAGTGGAGGAAATGTTTAATAAAGACTATGAGGAGGATGGGCCTCACAGGATGCCCTGTCCTGCCCAAAGCAGTATCCCACAGGGAACGAAACCATGGTACAAGGAATTCTTGCAGCTGATTGGTTACAGCAACTTCCAGAGAGTAGAAGAATACTGTGAAAAGGTCTGGTGTACTGATAAGAAGAGGAAAAAACATAAAATGTCACCCTCCAAATGGAAGTATGCCAACCCACAGGAAAAGAAGCTCCGTTCCAAATCTGAGCACTATCGCCTGCCCAGGCACACGCTGGACTCCTGATGGGGTGGGACCACCTGCTGGTTTTTGAAGAATTTATATTTAGAAGAGAGAGAGAGAGAGAGAGAGACAGAGAGAGAGACAGAGAGAGAGACAGAGAGAGAGAGAGAGAATTCACCTTCTTTCCATTACTTAAGTTTTCTGTAGTACAGAAATGACTATAAAGGTGTTGTGATAAATTATTCTACATACTCATTTGACTGGATAAACCTCTCATAAATGTAACTAATTTTTAAAAAGAAGTGCATTGCTTAATGGCTTCACATTATATTTATCAGAAAATGATCACAACTGTAGTTTTGAGTTTGAGCCACTTTTCCATGGAAGTTATGATTTTATTTTACCCTTGGAAGACTTAAAATTATTAGAATTTTGAAGAAAATCTAGAGAATGTCATAAGCATGGGAAATATAAAAGTAAACATTTTAATCTTTCAAAATGTTTCCTTTCTACAATGATGTAGAATATCCAGCTATCATATATTTTAACACTCGTGTGAATTTCTGTAGTTTTTAAGAATTATTGTATTAATGTCGTCTAAGCCATAAGTTTTATGTAGCAGGTATGTTGTCATTGCTGTAAATCATAAAAGAAAAATGTCACTTTGAGGCTGTGTCCTTCATAAAAAATTTACAAGACCATATTAAAAGTATTTCTTTTTTATAAAGAAAATCAACCCTTTAAATTTTACTTCAATGTGAAAAGAAGGAAGGTAAGACTACTTCTCAGAAAKGTAACAAAGACCAAAGGGATTAGAAAAAATAAAAGATTTTTGCTGCCCTCTTGTGGTATATTCTCGTAACATTTCTTTTTCTCCTGTCAGTCTAGGAAAGAGACATGAAAGCAGATTATAATGACTAACTGAAATAAAACAATAATAATATTTATGTCATGCTTGAGGATAGAGGTAATATAAGAAATTTAAATACAACATTACTAAAGTTCTTTTTAAACTTAAACTTTGAAGCTTTCAAAAGAATCTTCCCTGATCTAAAAGATATTCTGGAAATATGATGTTTTATTTGTGAAAAAAAATTAAAGCATTTTGCTCTTAGATATCAAAACTTTCTATTTTATAAAAAACAAGAAAATTATTTCATGAGTTCCTTTATCTACTGAGATCTTCAGAGCATTTTTACCTTTGTCTTATAAATATTGCCAAAGTTTTGCATTTAGGAGAATATTTATTTCTTAAAGTCTTTCCTTTTCTCACTTTAAATATCTAGCAGTTTCTTCTTAAAAATAGGAATTTTATGAAATGTTTTATTTAAATAAAAAGTAAAAGGAAGTGGATTGCACATAAAAACAATCATGAACATTTATTTAAAAAATAAATAATACTTATTTTAATTTTCAAAGTTATAGACTATATAATTAAGAAGTTAGTGTTGATTACTTGTAATGGCTTATGGTTTTATTCTAAAATTAATTAATAGGTACATATTTCAAGGAAATTTTAAAAGTTCATTCAGATAAGCCTCCAAGTTCCAAAAGCACTAAATGCAAATATATGGAAAACTAACATCTGAAAAATCCACTTGCTATTTACCTACAAATCCACTGGAGGACATTGCTACCCATCAACCATAACTGAAAACATCTTGTATGGAAAGCTGCTATTGAAAAACAGTATTTCAATAAAACCTTACCTAATTTGTAGAAACAGAACCATAAACACAGATCACATGTTCCTTGGCAAAGTTTGTGTCTGAAATACTCATAGAGAGCAGAAAAGCAAGAATGGTATTTTCATTAGAGCAGTTTATTGAAAAACTTCTCCCATTAACAAATGAGATGGAAAAGCAGGATTTTGTCCTATATCTGATTTTTTTCTTTAAAAAACAAGTAAGGTGGACATGACATTAGTAGTTATTTTAATCTTAATACACACACAATCAATTCATGGTGATAATGATGATGTCACCTGTAAATTAAATATTTGGCAACTGAAATAATAAAGCTGATAAAATGCTTTTTGTATAACATGAGGTTTTGTGGGTTTTTTGTTTTGTTTTGTTTTATACCAAGGATTGAACCCTGGAATTCTTTACCACTGAGCTATATCCCCAGCCCTTTTTTACTTGTCTTTTAAAATTTTGAGACATGATCTCACTAAGTTGCTAACATTAAATGCACAGGCAAGATGTTTGCTAAAATGAGATGACTCTTAACCAGAAAATAAACATTTTATGTGAAATGTTTAAGTGATTCTGGGAAAAGAAATCCAACCCAAAGATAGCTTGTGAAAATACTAACTTGAAATAAATCTTGTAAGACAATTTTGAGGGTTCAGGTCTAAATTTAGGTAGGGCATTAAATTATATATGTATATATATATATATATATATATACATACATATATAAAAATTTATATAAAATTATATATACATATATATGTAATATATATATATATATATTTTTTTTTTTTCAGGCATCATGTATCTTGCCACATACCCACTGATGGCAGTAGCTTGAGAACTGGGAAAGAGGAAGTGACTGAACAGGCAGTTTCCAAGATTACATCCCATGTCCCACAGCATTAATTTCCTTAATCTCTCTCCTCCTTTGTCCCCTGCACCTACACATACTCAAACCTCACATACTTTAAGATAAATATAAAATACAAACCAACAATCTATGTTGCTCTGTCTTTCTTGAGAATCTGAAACCTACTACAAAATGTGTTTATAGTCTTTGTTCTGTTTGGGATTAGAGTGAAAATTCAGATTCTCCTTTGAGAAATGCTCAGACTTGGAAAATTATAAACAAGTCAGAGGTTCCTCTTCCTGGAATTCAGGAAGGGTACATACTTGGGCAATTGCAAGACTTGGAGGAGCTAAGGATTCACTTTCACCCACTCGGACACAACCTTGGTGAAGAAAACTCCTCATCTCTAGGAACACATAGCTGATAAGGACTCAACAGCCATCCATCCTTGTTCCAAAGGGCACCTCCATGTAGTTGATTTCCTGCTTCTTCACCCCCTTTCTATTCCAGGAGAGGACATGCAAAGAGAAGGAGTCTCCACATTCTCCTTCTCCACACAATGTCAAGGTGTCTCCTCTCTCAGCACAATGTCACCCACTGAGCTAGGGATCAGATTTTTCAGGATTACAATTTAAAGGGATTTAACGTCATTTACTTAGGAGATCTCTTCCATGTCTAACATTCTATATTGCCATATTTTCTTTTGTATTAATTACTGGATATTTCAGTGTAAGCCTATCAATTTGGAGAACCAGGTATTGAAAATAGAAATAAACACTAAAAAGAATAGAAAAAGGGAAACAGAAAGTTTTTGGCTATTTAGTAAGAAACAATTCCAAATATGTGTCTATAAGCATATAGACAMACACACACTAGAGAATTTTTTTTCCTTTCCAAAATTAGTTAACTGATTAGGATGTTCTTGCTGACTGTTTAATATTTGCTATCAGGTGTAGGGTTTTGTGTGTCTTAATAGTATAAATATTTGTAAATTTGTACAGTACAATAAATCATTTTGAGCATTAGTGTTAGGCATGAAACAAACACAGCAGCCATTGTCCTTAAAAAATGAATTGTGTTGTGACATCTTTAGCCTGTAAAATATATTAAGAAAAGTACTTAATATTGTATTTGGGATATCAGGAAAAAGTGCCACGCTTAGGTTAATAATATGGAGTACTTATATTGTTTTCCCTGTAGCAAAAAATATCACAATGAGTTAGATTTTAAAAGAAGTACTTATTTTGCAACATTCTAATTAAATATAAATAATAGATATCCCATGAACAGGCTTTTGGTTGTAACAGTGTTATTTAAACTGGTATGTTTGTTTTATTTTATTTCATTAAAAGTATAGCTTTATATATTGGCTTTCATTATAAATTGAACATGTTCTGTTTGTGTTTAAGTGGCTTAGTTGTAAGCTGGAGCACTGTATTGGGATATTTTTGTCTCTATGGTATCTCTTTTGTTTTCTTGGTAGGGTCCATAACAGCATGTACCATTTTATTTCTTTTCACTGATTATAAACCATGAGACTTTCAATCACCTGGTGGAAGCTGCAGAAACCATTGGCAATGTGTCTCTTTGAGTATAACATGGATCTGCCACTCTACAGAATTTGTACCATTACATCCAATTTCTATTTGGTTCAACTTAGATGAAAAAGAAATAAATATGTACCAAACATTTGAATGTTGTTTGAAGAGTATTTCATGTTTCTGCCAATTGAACTCATTTCATATGTTGAATCTAAATGTAAACATACAATTCCTGAAAAACAATTTTTTAAAGAATTTAGAAAAGAAGTCAATTTTCTTTCCTAAGGGGGAAAAAAGTCCATTAATCTCATTACTTTACAGCAGTTGGACTTATTTATATGACACACCATGTTTCCAGGTCCAACAGCCAGAAATTATTTTCAAAACTTCATCAAAGCTTCCAACCTTCAAGAGACCCGGAAAATGAATGCTTTAAAAATGCCAACTATTACAATATTGATGAGTTTTTGGAAGCTTCAAGTTCTGTTTCAATGTTTCTGAATTGTTCTTCTCTGATATTTTCCTAATACCATGGGGGGACTATTTAAATGAGGTTTAGTATTAAATGAAACGCTCTTTGAGAGTTTTGTTTTTGAAACAAATTTAATTGTTAAGTAGTTACAATATTTTGAAAGGAGAATTTGATAGTATCCGAACCCCTTGGATGTGTTCATATTTCAAACTTTCATTCGCTTATCCTTACAGCCCTAACTCAATTAGTATAGTATTTGATGAACTCATTGCAAGACCTCTTTAGATGCATTTTTCCCCCCTATCATCCAAAGGGAACAAAAGCGTRCAACTTCCTCTTTCTGCTGCTTGCTGCACTGGAGATCACATGCAGGGCTCCTCCCAGCCTCCCTGCACCTGTTGGGCATGCGCTCTTACAGGCCCAGCCCTTGAGGGAGGCAGAGCGAGACAGCAGCTAGGAGAGMGCCCCGGGATCCCTTTCACCAGATCTGTTCCTCGCCAGAGTACTTTGACAAGCACTAAGGAAATCAGGTGAGAGACTACACTGCC